CCACGCCACGCCACGCCACGCCACGGTGCATGTCTCAGAGAGAAGGACGCCTCTTTTCGGATGAGCGAGCGAAAGTGCGCCGCCACACCTTCCCGCGCGTGCATTTGACCTCGCCTCCTTTAAAATCTCCGACGCGCGCGCAGGCGAAAAGGGGGCCCGCCAGGCCCTCCTGCTTGAGCCGAGTTCGTCGAGGACCAGATCGGCAAGCGACAAAGCTGAACCAGCGGGCGACCCCGAGCAGATTCTCTGGCTCTGATGGGCAAGCTCCGCCGGACATTCGAGGAAGCTAAGCTAGACAGACGTCTGCTCGCGCATTTTCCCTCCTAATCGCTTCCCGTCGAGCCGAAACGGTCACCATGCACCGCGCCCGTAGCTTGGGATGCTCACAACCGAGCAACTCTAATGATGGGTCAAATTCTATTTGACGTCCTTCTAGACCAGGACACCTTCTCTTGGTTGCTCTCGAAGCTCGCAGATGTAAGTGTGTGTAGGGAAACATGCACAGAGACGCAAAAGGAAAGGACAGAGGGTAGGAAGAGACATGCGCGCGGGCTGCGCTGCGACCGCGTGCAGCTTCTTGACGAGTCAGAGGAGAAAGAGCGGGATGAAAGAGAGAGAGAGAGAAAAGGGACGTGGCGTGGCGTGGCGTGTAGCGAACGTATGGTGCAATTGCCCTACTTGGAAAGGATCTTTAAATGTGTATAAGGGGGGCCAAGCCTAAAGGCTGATAGCTGGCGCAAGCGAGCGCGGACGAAGGGAAAAGGGAGCTAGAGAGCGAGAAGGTCTGGACGGCTGATGCAAGCGATGGGACGCTTGACGCATGCGTGCCACTGTATTGCGGCGGGCGACCAGGAGAATTATCTACCGAAGAGGTGGGGAGGGAAGTGTGCGTGTTGGTGTCTTTAAATGTGACAAATGAGGAGCCAAGGTCCGAGTGCAGTACTGGTGACGTGTCCGGTTCGAATGATGAGCGCAAGATGCTGGATGTGGACCAATGCGATGGGCATGGAGGCCAGATGCCAGAAGAAGCCGACTGACAAGCATGCCGACCAGAGTAGGAGTCGAGTGCAAAGCTTTCTCGGCGCTCTAGAAAGACTCGCCTTCGGCGATCTGGTCTTCTCTGAGGTGAGGAGCCTTTGGCTTGGGATTTGTAGGCGAGCCAGGGAAAATGGAAGCCTGGGCGTTGCAACCGTTCGGATTGAGCCTGTTGCGAGGCCAATTAGCTCCGTAGCCACCTTCCTCTGGCGTATTGCCCCACAGCGTCAGGTTGGGATTGTTATACGCTTCCAAGTGACGGTTGATGTAGTCGGCAGTGGGCATGCTCTCTGGCGAGCATCCAACGTTGATCTGACCCTTTGGTTGGTAGACGCGGACCCACTCGACCGCCATCGTGGCTGGCCACTGGAGGTTGTCCCAATCCACCGTACCAAAGTTCTTCGAAACTCCCACATTGAAGATGATGTACATTGGCTCGTTGGGGATCGGCCTTTCGGCAATGCCCACTCGAGGGTCTGCGCTCATCGCAGCGGGATTGACGCGCCAGGCAGGCTTGCCGTCCGAGACCCACTCGATGTAGCCACCGTGCCCAGGCTGATATTCGAAACCGTACTCGGAGAACTCTGCATCGCCACCTCGCTGCATTGCTGCTTGATTGGCGTCGGTGACAGCCGACATGGCTTGCTGCATCAGCTCACCGGTGTATGTGTTTTCGATGGTGCGCAAAGGGTCGTAAATGGTGTACGCAGGCTCCGTCGTGTTGTACGGCTTGTACTTGTAGTTGAAAGGAGCAATCTGAAGCGTCGATACGGTAGCTCGTCAAATTCAAAAACTTGATGCATTCTCATATGCCAGACTAGAATCACTCACCTGTGCGCTCTGAGAGAGCGTCATTTTCCTGCCCGTGCTCTGCGCTTCGAAAACATCGATTTCCGGTGCCGATCTACCGACCCAAGACCCGTCCTTGTTCTTTGGGCCCGGATGATCGTCGTCGGGACACGTGCACGCCGACAATTTCTGTCCGGTCAGGAAACTCAATGCGTTCGAATTGTGTTTCCTGTTGAACAGCACATCACCACCCGTCACCGCCATTTCTGGCTGACCATCGATTGTCGTCTGATTCTGCAGCGTGCCCACGTCGCACGCATCGTACGAGTAGGGCCATGTACCTTCCAGCGTCGAACCGTACCCTGCTCTGCCGAGGTTGCCCATGGTCCACATGGCAGGCCAAAGACCTGCGACGTCTGCGGTGCCCGGAAGACGGACGGAGGCGACGACGAAACCACCGGTAAAGCAGAACTTGTTCCACGATTGCAGCATGCCGCCGCGGAAGTTGAGATTGTGTTCGACGTACTGATCCAACGTGATTTCCAAAGCTCCATTGCGGGTGGTCACGGCTGCAGGATCGTACCATTCGTAGTTGTTCGTGGCCCAGTAGTGCAGATCGACGGCCTCCCAAAAGGGATCGTCGCCCGGATAAAAAGATCGTCCTTCCACCTCAAATTCGTCGGAAAAGACGAGGTCAAAGTCGGTCACACCGTCCAGACCTTTGCGGGTATATGCATCCTTTGGTGTGTCGGGATCGATGAGACCGGTCGATCCTGTTTTCCATCCAGGAAAGTCGGAAGCGAGCGAACTGACTTGCCCGCTGGAATTGGTGCCGCCAAGATTGAACGCGCCTTTGGTGGACTCGTGATCACCGGTGACGTACGCGATGATCGGGTAGCCCGCAAACAGCAGCAAGAGTCCCATGCCAAGGATCGCGATCGTACCGAGGTTCAAGATGGCCCGACGAGTCGACACGATCCCGCTACCGTCGACTCCGACCGGATCCAACCTCGGGTCGTGAAGCACATCGTCCGGCTCGGCCTCCATCTTGCAATCCGCCCAGAAGGATTCTGATGCGGGCAAGATGTACAATGCGGTCGCACCCGCATCTTTTGAGAGGGTGCTCCGGTGTCGCACGCCGCTTCTCGACGATGCTACAGAGCCATAGGCTGTCGACCAGCGCAGGGATTTGGGCAAGTCCTCATCGCTACGAGGTGAGCAGGCAGTAGAAGGTGGTCCACTGTGTGGTGAGTTGTTCCAGCGAGGGACGCTATACGCCGACGATGCCCTCTGCAAGCAAGACAAACCGCATGCACCGATCAGCACGCCCGTCAGCGCCCAATTGTGCGACTCTAGCAGCACCAATGGGACTCACTCTCGCACCGCTGGCTGTCCTATTGTTGACAGGGCTCAAGCTGTTGGTGACCCAACCGCCATGCTCGGAGCTGCCATGCAAAGAATTGACCGCGCTACCAGAAGGTGTGAAGCTGGAATCCAACGTGTTGCTCGCAACTTCCGGCAGAGCGTCGCTAGACTCGCCTGTGCTGATGCCCAGGCCTCCATCTTGCTCTACCTCTGGCGATACTGCCCTACTCGCGCTCTCTTCCTGCACTTCGCTCAGGTTCGCTCCTCGCTCAGGTCGAGACGCCCTACTGCCCAATTGAGCCTGCTGTGATGCGCTCCTGATGTGCTCCTCGAGGGACAAGACTTCCCTCGAGACCATCTTGGGCTCTATGTGTGCACGCGAAATGACGGCAAGGAAGCGTCTTGCAATTCGGTGTATGGCGACCTTGATAGGAATGCTCTGACGTTGGAAAGGGTTCTGACGTCTTCAAAAGGTCGAACAAAGTCGTCTTTTTGAGAGTCTCCGTGCCGTTGTTGTTGCCTTGGAGGTGCAGAGACTAGTCGACCAGCATGAGTGGTGAAATGAGCGTGGTGTGTGAGTGGTGCAGGGAGATGTTAGAATGCGGAGAGTGTCCTGGTAGAGAGATCGAGTTGTGCGGACGAGCGCCAAAAGATATGCACTGAATTTGCAAAGCAGGCAACGAACGGGTCGAGAGCCCTGAGGCCTGAGAAGCTAGCCTCTCACAGCGAGTATGCCGGCCGAGGGGTGGTGGGTGTAGCGACAGTAGTGGTACGGTTTGGGTACACTGGTCAAGCGTGCATGAGGTTCATGCAGAGAGAGACCGACCGAGCGATTTCGGGGCTTGTGCGCTGCTTGCATGAACCAGAGTTGATGTTAGGAGTTCTAGCTACGCGTCGAGACAACCAAGGGACAGCACGGCGAGCCCAGCGAAGCAAGCAGGCAAGTAGGCAAGCAGGCAAGCAGGCAAGCAGGCAAGCAGGCAGGCAGGCAGGCAGGCAGGCAGGTGGATGGATGGATGGGCTCCCTCTCTCTCCTCTGTGTATGCGTGCCTGCTTGCTTGCTCGCTCGGTTGGTCGAAGGGCCTAAATACAAGCAAGCACACCTGCTGCGGTGCAAATCAACGTCGCATTCTGAACAGAGCGCCAGAGTCGTGAATGCGCCTCAGCGCAGCAACGTGCCGCTTGTGGTAACTCGTGCAAGCGGATACCTCAAGCTGAATTGACATCTGCATCATGTGTTCAATCGAATGACGCCGTCGTCCTCTTCCGCCCTGGCTCAACACGACGCAACAGTCCGAGTATACCTTCAGCCCACCCGTTCATTCTCGCGAAAGCGCCTAACCGCAACCATCAGCATGCACTTGCTAATCAACAGGGGCGGCATCTATGCCGCACGCTGCTTCAGAGCTGGCGGCGGGTATGCGCCGCGCATTCGCGCAGCAACGTGCAGCAGCAGCAGCAGCAAGAAATTTGTTTCTAAATGCGCCCCCGGCACTTAGGTACCTCTTCACGTCGAGTTTGCCGCACAAGGGCCCTACGGTACAGTACATGCAGGAAGGGTTCAGCAGTCACTCTGACTGCGCGACCCTAGCTGGGACGACAAACTGCCGCACTGCGCGCCGGGTCGTGACCATAGACAAGCGGCCGCCGGGTCGGGAAAATTCAATCTCAGCAGCAGTGGTTGCAACGAGTGATTATGACAAAATTAAGGTGGGCGCGTCACCAGCGCCTTGATTGCGCCGTGCGCCCGGACACGCGCGGTGAGCAGGCGCCTCGTCTGCATGCTGCATGGATATAAGCGCGAGACCTAGACCGCGGCTCAGGATGAAGCAACCATTTATTATCATGGTATGGCGGGATACTATAGCTGACGAGGGACAAAATGGCGAGTCTGAAAGGGGCCTAAAACGAGCTAATTCGTGATGTGCTTTGTGCTGTGCCGTACTGTGTTATCAGAGCATCGACAGCCGAGACCCCTGACGCAGGGGTGGCAGAATCCGCCCTTGAAGCGGCCTGCTTGGTGAGCAACGCGGTCGTCTCTCTCACACACACACGCACATACATTCGTCACGCGGTCCTCATGGCTGGCGGGCGATAGCGCGCCGGGGAGACCTTCATCTTGATCAATGCATGGCAGCAACATGCCACCACAAACTCCACTCCCCAAATCGTGAATCTCATTCAGGTGACAGCACAGACACACAAAATCAGCCCTCGCTCCTCGACTGCTGATCTCGACGCCGCCGATACACATGCGATTCAAATTGTCTGCCCTCTAGGCGAAGCTTCAAAGTACGACTCAAACTGACTGCACGATGAGACTGTCACTTGTGACTCTCGATGTGTTGTGCGGTGCGAAAGGGCTGCAGCAGAACACGCACGCGTACGCTATGCGCCACATGGCGCCCCACCACCTTTACAAAGGAGGGTCAACTCACGAATGACCAAGAGCTTTGCAAACCAAGCGCGTGCAGAGTGCCGCTTGTTGTGCAATGAACTGCTCCAGTGGTGTGAGTGCACATTCTCGAGTGAGTACATATGCACATTTTCCGCGCCCGCGTGTGCTTAATTGCTGGAAGCTCCAACTCGATCGATCGCAAGGGAGCAAGGCAAAGCAAAGGATGGCCCGAAGAGTGTTCTGGAAAGGAACATATCAAGGCGGAGCCTAGAGCACGCGCATGCACGCGGGATCAGCGAAGCGCATCGATCGCAGCTTTAGAAGTGTCGCCAGCACGGCGGGCGTCAAGCTTGAAAGTCGAGGGATGCTATATAGCTGCGCATCTACCGTACAGTAATTCATTTTAATTCATCCGACTTCGCCGAAGCATGCAGCCACGGCTCAGCCATAGCTGATGCAGGCGGCGGGCTTGGGCGGGCGCTTGACAGGTTTTGCCGCGCGAGCTGCACTGCATGCATGGACCTCGATCGGTGTGACAGGCATTCATTCACGATTTGCCTGCCCATGCCTCCACCTCTCTCCTTCTCCGCCCTTTCCTCGCCATGCAAGCCCGAGAGCTGTTTGACCAGCCCCCAAGCCAGCATGCAGCATCTGCAGCAGTCTGAGTGGTGCTTCGTAAATAGCCACGTAGGCCCAACCCTGCATGGCGCTACTGCAGCTTTCGCATTCACGAGCCCAGCCTGGCGGGGCCCGCGCTCGAGAAAAGCTCGAAACAGAGGAAGGAGAAATGTGAATGATGAGAATGGGAGAGGTGGGTGGGTGGTGGGTGGGTGTGCAGTGTGCAAGTTTCAGCAGAGCTGAGATTGATGTTATTCTGGTGGGAAAGCTTTCATTCAAAGCGACTTCAGCTCTTCGGCGTTTCAAGCCCCTTCACCTATCGCTGCTGCTGAACCTGTGGTTGCATGGTTCAAGGAGGAGGGGTGGGCGGGCGCAGCATTCAAGATTTCTTTTCGTCTTGCTTGACGCGGGCGCAGCATCCAGCCCGCTCTCGATTGACTCCGTCAAGATGGGTCAAGGCCAATGTATATAGACTACGATGCTCTTCTCTAGTAGTAGTGTAGTAGTAGTCAGTGTGAGTTTCAAGTGACCGCACCTGGCTTCTCTGCCTGCCGAATCAGAAGCCATGCGACAAGGACTTCGAAAGTTGGTCACCAAAAATTTCATTCAAGATGCTTATTGATGATGGAGACGACAAGATCCGAGTCAAAAATCCAAGGCCCCCCGCCCCTCGATCGCGCAGTCTTGAAATGCTGATTCAGAGTCGTTAGTGTCGGATTGGAGGAATTTGGATGAGCTGCACCGATATGGAACATGCTGGGCGCACAAGTCATCGCTAGAGTCACAGTCACAACAGTATTCGTGATTGCCAAAAGTCAAGGTGAAAGCTGAATCCATGGCTGAACTCGGCTAGGCGGGCTGGCTCAACGCCGCGCCAACGTTGGCTCCATGCTCGGCGGTCGGCGCAGTCCTGCAGCGGTGCCGGCCGTATGTATGTACCTATATAGCTATAGGTCGAGCTACTCACACTGTACGCATAAAGGCTGTACCGTACAGTAGGTGCGGTACGCACGGCGCGAGTTCATGTGCGCATCGTTGACTCTGACTCGTTGGTCGCGATCCCATCAAGTCTTGACTCGAGACTTGCGACAGTCCGATCGAGTCAAAAGTCTAACAACAGTAGTCACAGTATAGGTAGTAGTAGCAGTCACGAGTCTTTTTGTGGCGATTGCATTGCATTGCATTGCTTGCTTGCTTGCTTGCTTGCTGCCTCGATCGCGATCGACCCTTCGTTTGCATCTCTCGATCGCCCGCCACAATTCGCGCTTTCTGTAGCCCTAGCCCACACTATCACACAACGCTTCCTAGCGGCCGCACTCCACGCTAAGGAAAAGGTCGAGTCCGCGCTTGCTTGCATCTTAGCTCTCTGCAGCATAGGGGTCGATGAGGCTTGCCTTGCCTACTTGGGCCGTGCCGGCGGCATCCATACCGCGCAGGAGGGCGCCACCGCGTCGCGTGCTAAAGGTGAGATCCGACCATCACCACGCAAAAGGTCATCGCAATGTCACGTCGCTATCCGTTGTGCTGAAGATCATTTCAGCGCGTGACGAAGCAATGTGAATGGAGACGCAATGCAATTCTCCCACGCTCAACGCAAATGCTAACGACAGAAAGCGATCCGCTCTGGGCACAAAAGCGCGCCGTGAGAGTTGAGGTCGTCGAAATACATGTTTTCAACGAGTGGATGGGGTGTGCTCTGACAGCAAATATGGTGGAGCCATGTGCGGAATGATTCTGATACAAAGAAAAAAACAAAACAAATCTGATAAAGCAGACTCGGCGCAGCATCAGGACTTGGGAGGGAGCGGCGCGCGTACTGTTCTGATGAAACCGAGGGGGCAACGGAAAGGCAAGAGAGCAGCAGCAAAAAGTTCGCATCGCATCGCGTCTTTCGATGCTTGCAATGCAAGAGCGTGGGCAATCGACCCGCCTAGCACGTGCGGCGTCTCAAGCGTCATCACCCGCTTCTTCCTTCTTCACGACATCCTTGTCGTCGTCATCCTCATCAGCGGCAGGAGTGCTGGCAACTGTGAACAGGCTGTTCGTCGTGCCAGGTCGAGTGCGCATAGCCTCCTCATCCTCATCCTCGCTCTGATCTCGCTCGTTCGACTCTTCCCGGTGCGAGCGCTTGCCGTTAGCAAAGTCTGGCGGGGATCTGGAGCGAGATGGGACGTCGCAGAGATTTGCGATGCTGACGCGACGATTCTGCATCATATCGGCAGGCGGAGGGGCAATGCTGGGCTCGTCTCGAGAGGAAGATTCGCCAAAGCGTGGCGGACGATGCAGCTCGCCGCTCGTCGAGGGCCGTAAGCGCTTAGCGTCTGGACCGGGCGAAGCGCCTTTGCCAGCGGCTTTTCTTCTCAACCTCTCGCGGTCCCGATCGATCAAAGGTGGCAAAATGTCAAAGGAGACACCACCGCGTGGCCCGCTTGAGCTTCCTGGTCTGCTTCGGCTCAAGCCAGTACTCCTGACGTCATGCGGGCCAGAGGAGCTGCCAGGCCTTTCCAAGATGCCACCAGGCACGCCTCGCGCATCTCGCTGAAGCGGCGGTGGCTGGAAGCGAAAGACGGAAGACGATGCGTTGGCTGAGCTGCTCGAAATGCCCGCCCTCGAAGGTAGTCTGCTGTTGGAGCCTGTCGCCGGGCGGGCTTCGATGGGCGAGACTAGGCTTGGCAGCGAGGTCAAGTCGAGCAGGCCACTCCGTGAGGTGGGGCGACTAACACCGCGCACAGCGGCGGGAACGGTGCTGCTAGAAGTGCCAAAGTCACCTGCGTTGGCAGAGCTGGTTCCGGGGCGTCTGTCTGAGGTGCTCGAGTCACCAAGGTTTGAACCAAACGGCAGAGCCGAGCCAGTGCCGTGCGAGCTGCGTGGAATTCCAGGAGAGGGTCCCCCGTGTCCAGTGCCGGGCCGACTCAGACTGGATAGGGGAGGCAAGATGGGCCGGTCGGACACGGCGCTTGGCGGCCCGCCCGCACTGCCTGGCCGAGCGCCGTGCGAAGAGAATGGACGACCATGCGAGCTGCCAGGCAAGGGCGGCGAGACGCGTCCCTTTGCCAGCGTAGGCGTCCTCATTTGGAGATGCGCAGCAAGTGTGCTTTGGAAGCCCGACGGTTGCTGGCTGACTCTGCGTGGTGCGTCTTGATACTCGTGGGGCGCGCCATGATGTGCATCGAAGCGCCAGTCAGCGGATTCGGCAGGTGCGCTGTTGTGTGTAGGCTCGAGATGGCCCCGTGAAGGATAGGGAGGATGGATCTCGGCGCCGTAAGGATAGCCGCCATTTGCAGCACCGCCCAGGTGATGTCTATTGTCCAGCTCGTAGCCACCGTGCGTATTGGCTTCGCTCGGCGCTGGGAAAGTGTATGCAAAACCATGCGACGCAGCATGGGCAGGCGCCGACAATGGCTCTGAAGGATGAGCGGCGTTCCCTGCAGGTCCGCTCAGACTGCCCCGCGAACCAAAGTGGTACACGGGCGAGTTGGCACCAAATCCTTCCACATGAGACGCAGTGGGAAAGGCGCCACGTTGGGCGTAGGGAGATGCGACGTGCGCCGCTTGCTGAGGCGATACGTAAGCATTCATCTCTGGCGAGAGGGCTTCTACCCAAGATCCGCGGCGCGAGTCGCTTCTCGACTCTTGTTTGAGACGTCCACCGGTGGACTTGCGGCGATTCGTGGCGCTGGTTGCCTGTCCGGCAGTGAGTGTGTTTGCCTTGCCCAGCACCTGTGCCCGCGCATGCTGAGCTTGCGCAGCAGATGCTGCCAGCGTGGTGTGCAAGCCTGTCAGCTCGGCCATCATGGTTTCGTTGCGCTCCGCCTCGTCGGCGTGCACAGTGTGAGCGTGCTGCCGCAGATTATCCAATCGGGAAAAGGCTTTGCCGCAGTGGCAGCGGAATGGTCGCTCGCCAGTGTGTTTCCTGCGCGGCAAGAGGTGGGATCCAACTGCGTCAGCCACAGGAGTCTTGCTTGAGACTCGGCAAGCGTTGGAAGCTGCATAGCGCGCTGGAAGAAGATTCTTTGCGGATATGCTGCTTTCTCGCCATCAAGACTCACCTGACATGGCGAGCCAAATGCTCGCTGCGCGTGAAGACCATCTTGCAATCCCCAAAGCCGCGACATTGAAACATTGTCACATTGCCGCCAGCTGCATCGATGCTCTTCCCATCGATTTTAAACTCGTCCTCCAGGCCAGTCGGACTGCTGCTGTCGGGTGACTTGCGCTTGCGCCTCGTGACGGGCTCCGACGGTCTTCGTTCGAGCACAGGTCCCTGCTGCCCCGATCCACTTGCAAAGCTCTGCGAACGCATCTGGGTAAAGGGTGTATGCGGACTTTGCTGAATCGGTCCCTCGGTGACGTATGCGGGCATCGCGTTGGAGACGTTCGCTATGACGGGCGAAGTGTAGGGAGAGTGGTGAGCGTACTGCGAGTGCGACGGCATGGCAGAGGATGAGCCGTTGGAGGTGTAGCCGTTGTAAGGGACAGACTGCTGTGCCTGATGTGACGATCGCGATTCCAGCGATGCTGCATAGCCAGCGTTCATGGGAGCGGCATAGGAAGGTGGGATGGCTGAGGGAGGTGCCATCTGAGAATGCGAAGGGATTCGCTGATGCGGCTGCATCTGACCGGGATGCTGACCAGGAGCCATCCCGACGACGTGTCCACTGCCGCCGTACTCGTGAGCGTGCGAGTGTTGTATGCCGTGAGGGTGATGGTGGTGGTGATGAGGCTGAGGCTGAGCAGCTTGCTGGTGCACGTAGCCAGACGAAGAGTGAGGGGTGCCGTGATGATGAAGCATGGAAGCTGCTCCATGCTGTGGCGTGCCAGGGTAGCCGTGCGCAGCCGCTAGGTACGGCGGCAGGCCGTGACCTGCGGGAAGCGACATTGCAATGGATCTCGACACGATGGGCTTGTCTGCGAGAGGTTGTGATCTGCAGCCTGTGCTTTTACGAGACGTGCGCAGGCGAGAGGGGTCTCTTGATGAGATGGAAGATTCGTCGTCGCGTTGGAGAGGGGAGGGACTAGTAGATCACCGAACTGCACCAGGGGCGTCGCAGGCAGCCAAGGGTGAAGCCGAGTTGAGGCAAAAGAGACAGTGACAGGGGAGAAGCCAAGATAGAATGCCGTTGGCAGGGCAGGGCAGAGCAGCAGCTGTGAGTCAAGAAAGCGAGAATCGTCAATGGTCTGCGTCGTAGTGAAGGAGGCGCGCCGAAAGGTAGCCCTAAGTGCAGTCTCGAGTGTTGCTAGGAGCTGCCGCGCGAATAGGTCTTTCTCGACCAGGACAGCAGGCGGCAGGTCTTGCGCAGAGAAGAGCAAGAGTGAGTGCGCTCTCTATAGCGGCTGCTGGAGGGCGCGGGCGCGGGCGCGTGCGTGCGTGCGTGCGTGCGTGCTGCTGCTGCTGGGCGCGCGGCTTGTTGAGCGCAAAATCAGGACTGCAGGGCGTGTGCCCGGGTCAGGAACCGCCAGGCACGCGGAGGGCAGCTGCAGGGCCAGCGCAAGCTGGAGCCGTTGGAGCGAGCGAGCGGTGTTTTTGGAGTGGGAAATGGTCCCAGCAAAGAAGAAGAAGAAGAAGAAGAGGTTTGGGTCGGGCGCTGCTATGTTGCGCGCGTTAAGACAAGAAACGCCAACAACGGGATTCTTGGAAGGGGAATGAATGGTGGTTCAGCAGCAAGTCTCGTCCTTTCATCGCAACCAGTCGCAACTTTTGACGAGCTTGGGGGAGTGACGGCGCAAAAGCGCATCAGATGAAGCGCTCTCGTAGCCCGGCAGACCTCTGTGGACCAAGGTGAGCCAGCCAGCCAGCTTCTTTGGAGCTATAGATGACGACCGTTTGAGCTGAGGGCGGCGGGTTATTGCAAGTCCAGGGTATGCACTTCTACATACACCGCACGAGCAGGCAGGCAGGCAGGCAGGCAGGCAGGCAGGCAGGCAGGCAGGCAGGCAGTGAGTGATGCTGTGATCCTGGGTGCATGCACGTACGCTATATCGTAGCCTGTTCAGCGCAGCATGCAGCAACGCGCGCGCGGGGATTCACTGCGTGCAGCAGCAGCAGCAGCAGCAGCAGCAGCAGCAGCAGCAGAGGGAGACATCCATGCAGCAACCGCGATGAGTGATGTGATGATGCGGGCCGGAACCGCAGGCAGTAGCGCGGTCAGAGGTGAGACAAGGAAGCAAGCTCAGATTGCTGGTGCACGCGGAGGCTCCGGTCGGAGTATAGCAGGCCTGCTTGGCTCCAGGGCGGTCAATCATCTGCTGCAGCAGCAGAGCTACAGCTACAAAGCCCGCCGTATAGGAGGAGGGATCTGCCGCGTATACAGGCAAGTATTCGGGATCTCGGGCGCGGTATGCACTACGTAGACAGCAGTCGCCCGTCAGCGCGCGCCTACACCCATCATCATCAGCACACTCGGCCCGCGGCAGTTTGCGCACACAGAGCAGGACGGATGCAAGTTAAATTGAGTTTCACCCGCAACAAAACGTGCTCTAGCTCCGAGGTCGATCGAGTCGTGAGTTAAATTGCCTTCGCTTGCTTGCTTGCTTGCTGCTGCTGCAATAACCGCGAATATCAACAATCTTGACGGTGACTACACTTTATAGCAACCACTCAGTAGTGACTGCTGCTGCTGCTGGGATGCTTGCTGTAGATCGCTTCTGAAGTCACGACGAGTCGTGAGTGCGTGCTCCTTCCTCATTTGGCTGCGTCAGGCGCCAGCCATGCATGAACAAGGCGCTGGCGCCCAATCTCGAATCAAGAACCGCAGCTATGCAGCGTTCAGCGCAGACAATCCACGAATGCAGTCAGGTCAGGTCAGGTCAATCAGAATCTGAATTGACCTGTCCCCGCCTCATTTGAAGCCGGTCGGCGTGGGTGAACATCATGGCGGATGAGTCGGATGAGCTCATCTCGATCTGGGTGCCGCTCTGAGGCGATGTTCGCTGTGCATACACCTTCATACAGCCAGCCAGCCAGCCAGCCAGCCAGCTGGAGCTTGACCAGAGGCCTCATTGCAGTCTGATGATGAGTCGTCGCCGGCGAGGTACCAAGCAGCAGGCAGCACTCCTGTTGTGTACGCGAGTCGCGAGCCATTTGTTTGCTTCTTCGACTTCGCAGAACATTCACAAGTCTGTCCCTGCCAAGGGGCTTATAGGCCTGTCTGTGCAGGGACCTCGATCACGACACCCGAGCGCTAGGTACACACTCAGTGACTCCCCGAAACGCTCACATATATTACCCTTCGTCGCTCAAATTGGCTGTGACAGCAACAGCTTCACCCAGTTACAAGAGTGGCACGCCTGACATCGACGAATGCAGATGCATCCATCGTCCCTGACGCCATCTGACCGCGGAAGAGGCTGTTGGTGCTGGCCACTGTGCGAGTGCACCATCCAATCAGGTTGTGGTCTGTATTGCAGGACTGCACCACACACTCTATGATGCGTGGACACAGGTACATTGAGAGTCACATTGAGCGGTCAAATTGCAAGTCAAGCGTCCCATTTGCGTCTCTCCGAGCTGCGTCTGCTTGTCTTTGTCAGGTACAGTCGTGACTACAATCGCAATGGCTTCCACTTTTCTTTTGGCGCAGCATGTCAGGGCTGTCAGAGCGTCTCTAGACTCGCACTCGCAACTGCCATTCTTGATTGTAGACTTGTGACTGGGAATAGCGACTAGTCATCGCGATCATCCTTCTCGTTCGCTCGCCTTCTCGACACCTGAGAGAGCACATCAGCTCGCGCGCAAACGGATTGCTCGACTCCAATTTGATGGCTCCTGCACAAGCGCCACTCAAATTGCCGCTGTCATTCCATCCCATGCAAAGGATTGGTCTTCATGTCGCACCTCATTGACGAGCACCACGCTTACGAGCAGTTTTACTCGTGAACCTTGCAAGCGCTCGATTCGGCCCTGTCTCAAGCAGCAAGCTACCTCGCCTCGATGCAAGACGCTCTCATCTGCGCAGCTGGAGAACAGGTGATCCACGGGTCGCGCTCTAGGCACAAGGTGAATTGGATTCGATTCCCCTTGGCCCGTAGAAGATATCTTGTCCCGAGTGTGAGTACGGTCATTCATTTCTCATCATGACGAACCCAGTCCCGCACACAACGCCACGTACGCGGGACCTCCGAATCCCGCAACAAGCGCAATCCTTCATCGGCCCACTGACTTGCTATGTATCCAAATCTGAATTGAATGCGGCAAGAGTCATCATCACATCACGTTGACATTTCCACTTGGCCGCGCATTCGTGCGCATTTCCCACTCACGACTCGTGACTCCAGATGCGCTCCTTGTTCGTCGTTCAAAGGACAAAGGTGGGCACGAGAGCTCAGTGCGAGCTGAGCTCACCTCCAAGCTGTCCGGTCGCACAGAGACATGCTTCAATCATACTCGTGACTTCAGGAAAGATGTGCGCAGATGCGTGCCACAAGGCAACAGATGCGGATGGCATGGCATGGCTCGGCTCACCTAATCAACCTTTGTGGACCACAGACTCGCTCACCTACCTCCACACAGCAAGCTCTCTCACGACTATAGGAGCAAAGTCAAGTCGGTCCAGATCGATCGGCCTCGGCCTCGGTACTCGCGGGCCATAGCCGTCCGTGACTGCTAGACCGGCCAAGTCAGCTGTGCGCGCCTGCTGACTGAATACTTGGCCGAGTGGTGAGTCTGAATCGGTCCGCCCGTCAGACATGCCATGCCATGCGATGCCGCAAACGCAGTCACGAGTGCCGCTGAGCACTTCGCTCAAGTGACGCGGACGCGGACGCCGACGCTGCAGGCTCACGCACTTTCCCCCACCTTTACGCACATATCGCAAGCCCTAGTTGCCGCTTCTCGGCAGACCTTGATCGATACGCATCCTCTTGCATAGTGAGAAGTGGCACTATTCGACGTGAAATGCCTTGCTTCATTCTTGCAGCAGCAGCAGCAGCAGCAGCAGAGGGGTTGCGATGGGAAGAGGCGGACCGGGGGTGCCTCCTTGATTGGTGGAAGATGATGCCATCACAGTCAAGTCAAGAGCAAGCAGACTTGAAAACTTGCGCAACCTTAGCCTCGCCTGCTTCTGCATTATGATTCAAATTCACGATTGTTCCCTTCGACGCTAATGCACCCTTAGCGTCTTTAGCTGATCTCATCCCCATGCAAGCGCCGTTGTTTCCGACATGCAGCATTCAAGATTCTCGATTCTCGATTCGCTGTTCGCAGTTTGTGCAGAGAAACAAGGAACAAGGCACCGGCCCCCACCGAAGAGTCGGTATATACAGCACGGTACACTCACACGGTGAAACCTGGCGATAGGCGATGCATGCGTCTTTGTTCTACTAAAGACTTGTTTTCAAGTCGATCTCCTCCCCGAAATGCAACGCGCGCTTCAATACAGAAACAGCAAAGAGCTACAACTTTTCTTCACATCCAGAAAGCAAGCATGCATGTCTTGCCTAGCTGCGTCTTGATCAGCCCCAGCGCGGCACGTCTCACTCTTCGCTATCTATCCTCGGCTCCAATCCGCCAA